CCGGATTCAATTTCTCACAACACATTAACATAAAGATATAAAACTATTAAGACAAATCTTAGAGTAGAAATAATAGTAACAGTAACCATATCACAGATCACTATGAACGATGAATCTAATCGGCCTAATCATTCTATTAAACTCATCCAAAGATCCTGTTGTAAAATAGTTTAATGAATTAACATCACTTTATTTACTGATACAAATTAATTTACACATGATTCAGAATAGAGAAAAAGAAAAAAAGAAAACCTATTTTTAACACAAAAACACACAACCCATTCAACAATATAAATAACTATTGTTGGCACAATTAGTACGTTTATACTTGAAAAGCTGTTTGGAAATGGAAGAAGAAAAAAACACAGAAGAAACAAGTGCGCAAAAACAACACACACACATACAGGTAGGTACATTGATTAAAGTACTGAGAGATGATTAAGCGACAGAAAATATTGCCAAGTGAATAGGTCGTTTATATTGCATCAAGAAAAATCATAATCACATCAAGTTCACTTACAAGATTATAATACTGTCAAGATAATTGAAAATAAACATCAAAACTGGCAATGAAAAACGATGTGGTAAGATAACAAGGAGAGTAAGAAAAGCCACATACGAAAAATTACAAATTATTTCAATTAGATAAATATACACATACGCACATACATACATACATACATACACACATACATACATACATACATACATACATACATACACATTCTATCACACATAAATGGGATACAAAAGAGACCTTTAAATGGGTAAAAATTAAGGACAACAACAACAACAACAGGGAATGTTACATTTGATTTGATTGATTGATTTTCTGAATAAGGTAGATAGAAAACAGTCTATAAAATTATGATTCAGTTTCCAAACTTGATACCCGTGATGAATTAGTGACTTTAAGAAATTCTAATAACATTTCATTTTCATTAGCTTGAATAAATTCATCATAATCCTATTGAAATAAAAAAAAGGATACATATGGGTGAAAAGGTTAATTCATGTGAATCAGGGAAATGAGTGAGTAATTTAATAAATGTGATACTTAGTTAATTCATTAATAGTTCAGTTTAGTCAGTCACATACAATGTAGAACCAGACATATATATGTATGCATCGATCCAAGTTGCCAAATATCATTAGCACAACAAGATGAACACAAAATCCATAGTAGTTACTTCAATGGTAGTAATATATAAATGAAAGGTTGTGTATAAGGATATAATACAGGAAGAAAGAATTAGTTCGTAAAAAGAAAGGTTTAAAGCTATTTTAATCTCACGGTTTAATAGAAGATAGAGGGTATATACATTTATTCGATTGTGATCGATTCTGAAACATGTCACTCACAGTTTCCAAACATTGGTTTCGATAGTGGCGTGGACCCCAAACCAAGTAGTCTATATCTACCAACATGGCTCAGACCAGAAGTTATTGACTTTATGAACTGATGTCAAGTTTTACTTTGGCCACTTTTAACTTTCATCCGACCATCCCCAACACTAGTCAGCATTGCACATTGTGGTAATCGGTGTTCAGACATACGTAACACGTGGCCTAACTATCTCAGTCGATGAAGATTTACAATCTAGACTGAGACACAATTGTATCAGGCTCTAACATTCATTATGACTGACTTTCTATAGACTGATTTTAATTGTCTTTGTTTAAAGACCTGTTATATTTACTTTGACAGAATTGATGTCATAAATGACACTTCATCAAGTTTTTATTTCTATCACTAAATTTATGTTGACGAGAACTGTGGGCAACTAAACAATTGTATGGATTTATGTCAGATCACACGCCTCTTATGAATTAATGACTAAATCATGGAGCCTTCTGCATATATAGTGTAAAGCTATGCTTTTGTATGTAGAGGACGGGGGTCAAAGATGTGACCCAGATATTTAGAACGAAGGATGATGATTGACGTAGTCCTGGTAACGCACTAGTTGCTTAGTTGTGTACTTAAGTAAGTCAGAAATAACTCGATATATAGGGCCAGATATATTTCAGATATCCTACTGACATCATATCAAAATAAACAAGCTGCAAGAACACAAAATCGCAAGAAGATTCAAAATATAAGTTTAAGTATTACTACGTGTGCATTCGAATTATAAGATAATTCACGTATCAAAAGATTAGGCATGGTTCATCAGATAGTAAATCATCCGTTAAAATAATGATGGATTTCATATCCACTCATCATGGCGTATGATTAGAAAAGTCGTAAAATGAACTAAACATGAGATTGTAATCTCCTAAAAATGCATTGGAAATAACAAAAGAAATTCTTCTTAGGATGTTACACGTAGCCTCAATTACAATTGTAAAGGAAACAGAATTACTTTGTAACTACATGAGTATACCAAGCCTAGCAGTGAAATCCAAGATGCTCATTATGCTACATTTCGACCTATCAGTCCCATGTGTCTGCATCCTGATGTTAGTGTGTACAATGGGACTCGAACCTGCTCTTTCTCACTTTAAACCATAACGCTGTATCTACTGAACTACTAAATCCAGATAGCTAATTTTACTAAAAACTTTTGACCAAATGGCAATATCCAGATAATCCGCTCAAGATGTATATATACAAATAAAGACAGATTAATTGCGTTTTTTATCAACAAAAGGAAAATACAAACTAATGAAAGAGAACTGAATGTGTGAAACGATTTTTCTAAAATCTTGACAACGGAAATGCGAAAATGATTGTACGAGAATGCACACTCACATTCACTGAACATAAGATCATCCAATACTTCGAAAAATCTTTACTGTTAGGATAAACATGTTCGTGGATATTTGATTTTTAAAAATAAATCAGATCGATTTCGTAAACGAATTTGTTCTCTTGAAACTTAAAACGCATTATTATTCGTAATTCATTCCACATACTGTTAGATAGTTACAGAATCCCCTATCAATTATCAATAAACAATGGTTAGAACAAAAAGAACACTTTACTGAGACAAAGACCAGTTTTGTTGGAGGTTGCTGATTCAGTTGCTTCATTGGAGTAATTATAAGTTAGGCGTAAAGCCAGCTAATTTAAGTCAAGAGAATAATCACTATAACCCACCCTTTTAAATAAATGAATTCAGTAATATAAGAAAACAAACACTGTATTTTTCAGTATTAGACATAATTCCTTTTGTTTCACAAGACTGTACTTTGCAATAGTTGGCTAGCTAGAAAACAATTACAACAATAATACAATCAGTTAATGACCTACAATTACAAGATGGATAGTTTTGTGGATTAACAGTTATTATTCCAGTAAGATTTATTATATGGAGCTCAGAGAATCACGTGACAGTGGAGTAATGCACACATTGTAATTTCTTGCAAGAAAAATCAAATTTGAGTGATAGCCAGTAGGACATTTTCAAAGACTAACTGCCTCTTTATGGAAATTGATTTGTTTTTTTGTTTAGATAGATACCACACTTATGTCGCATGGTTTTGTAATCCACCTTTTAGTATGCAAGATGTACCACATTGTAAATCGCCTTAACAATATCACTAATGGTCGTTACTATGATATGTAATTTTACCAGAACTAGTAACTGTTAACACAAATGAAAATAAAAGGCTCTATGACAAGATACTAGAGATATTTTCAAGGAAATATTGTTTCCTGTATTGAAGTTTCCCCTATATTAACATGCCTCTCTCAACAGAGACTAAACGACAAGGCTAAGAAATAGCCATATCATGGTATGATATGATTGACATGACGCTTGTCTAAAGGGGCTCAGACCACCCTATAAACCATGGTCTGGAAATAAAACGAAAAAAACACAACATTTATACACGAAAAAGCCAGAAAGCGGCTGTGAATAAAAGAGACTGTAAATGATCGACTGGCAGCAAATAAGAAACGGTAAATCGTATGACAGTAGTTAATGGGTCGACCGAAAGCTTATGATAAATGGAATGTGTAGACAAAGTAATCTAGCTACCTAATAGTTATACAAGAAGAATATATATACAAGTATTCCGTAAACTAGCTCTGGGTGTAGCTACTTCAATTTTCGTCCTGATATATCAAGTCCAAGCAGTCACCCCATTAGCACAACGAGATAAAAGTGTCAAGATAAAACACCAGAATAGTAAGGATATTAATGGGGATGAAAATGACTAAGCGTTGAAGATACAACCCGAGGAAACATACATTAGTGGAACAAGAAAATTACTAAGTAATTTATCAACCTATGATCTAAGAGAAAAAAATGAGTGAATACATTTGTGCTACTCAGAACGATTCTGAGACATGTTACTCAATCTTTAACCAGTGATTACGATAATCATGTAAACCCCAACCAGGCATTCTACACTTACCTACATGGTTCAGTCCAATAGTCAATGTCTTCATCAACTGACCCTATGTCCTGGTCATAACTTTCTTGAAACCTATTTCTACAACAGCGTGTTGACGTAGTCGGTGGAAGCGCATACGTAATACATGTCCTAATCCTCTCAGTCGTTGAAGATTCAAGATGCCAGACACTGCTATCGGGTTTTGTACGATTATTATGGAACTTTTACAACACATGGAAGCACATAAGAATATCTGCAGAAAGTTAGAGGTCACGAGCTGTCACCAAACCTCATGAATAATGTCGGAAGCTACATTTCAGAAGATTAAATGATTATCTTAATCCTCGTCATTATAAATAGTACTAAGTCAAACGTGAGAATTAGGTTTTTGGAAGCTCCAGCTAGTTACTTATTAAAGTGTAACACGTTTCTGAAATGATTTCAATCAAATAACAGGACAGAATGCGCTCAGTGACAATCAATACAATTAGCAGAAAGTAGTTAACTCTATCCAAATACTAAATAGATCAGAAACATAAACAGGTTTTCTACAGTTTGTTGATACTTCAAGCATTAAGTTTTAAATTTTTGAGCAACCTAATAGTGCGTATAAAGAAGCACAGCTAAAACTCACAAATGGTTAGGCAACTAACAGACGGTGTTCATTATCCGTGGCTACAATACCACTACATAGTAGGTGGTTCTACAAAGATTCAGCTTATTGTAAGCATATAAGGTTCGCGTATTACCTTGGATTACTGAAAGCATAGACTGCTTTGTGTACTCATTTATCATAATGTTTTTGTTGACAAGATAGAGCCTTGATATACTAGTCCTACAAACTAGCTCACATTTATGATACCAAGAAATATACCAGGCAAGAAGAGATCATATTTCTGTGGGTGAACTAATGAAAGGGAAACATTGAGTAATAAGAATGATACAAACATTTGAGAATACAATTTAAATGAAAACACTGAATAGACAAACCCTACATCTCAAAATATTTCTTAGCATTTAAGAACATCACAACCGCACTCAGCTCGCCATTAGGTCTCATTATGAATCATATTTGATTTCCAGAATCTCAACTAAGTGGAAATGTTCCGGCATATGGTAATCTGAAAGAGCTACCTCTGGATCTCCAGTGCTGTATGATGGGTTGGTGGTTGCTATACCCGTACTATGCACTTTTAGTATCAACAACCAGGGATCAACAGACGCTTTAGATGTAGGCAGTATTCATATTATGTGGCTATCTCATGTAAAAACTGTTGTTGAGGCGTAAACGAGCACTTCCTTCGTTTTACAGTTTTAGCCTAAGTAACATCTTTGGAGTCAGATCAAACCAAAAGATCTTCAACAAGAACCATGATAGTTAATTTTAAGACGGACGATTGAGAGAAATGTTAGGTGATGAAACAAGAGTGAAACCCTGATTCATCTAAATATCTATAACAGGTAACCCATGTGCATATCACGTTTTTGTATACCTCTACAAGCATAAAAAGCCTACAATAAAATATACCTCGAAACAATTTCTGGCAATGCAGCAAGCAGAAAACCAGCATCATAAACAGAACACACCGTTCTGCTAGGAGCAGAGTAAATCAAATACACGTGTTAGTTTCGTTGCATCCAAAATATGACAGCTACTAGTTTACTAGTGGACATACTTCATCACAAAAAATTATTCAAAACGATCTTCCCTGACATACCCCTAGATATTCCGACCCAAGAAATAGCTGAGGAGCTATTATTGTTTTCCCATTTTCTTCGAGAGCCTTGAACATGAATTGTTTGTCAGTCTCTGAGGATGATATATCTTTTACTTCAAAGGGTATCTTAGCTGCACTAAGTATGTTTATAATATATTGTTGTCTACTTTTGACCTACAATAATTTGATAAGATATTTATGAAAAAATTACTTTTGTATTTCCTGAGGTCGATGATATATAAACATCCACAACCATGATTTCGGACTTTCAGTGTTCCGCCAAATGAACAAATACAACCTTGTCATTATCGTGATATGTTGCTATGACACTATTTTTTCCAATACACTTCGTCAAAAAGAAAATACCAAATTTATCTATCAGAATATCTCAGAACCTGATGACAGAATGTGAAGAAATGTTTTTGGAGATTAAGCAGTGTACCCATCTATTACTTGTTTCGAACTTCAGTCTTCAGTATTAAGGATAGGTCTATTGACCTATATTAATCATTGCAGTTTGTAATACTGTAGAGGCCCAATCTCAGTTTGAATATACTTACAGAAGATGATGATATTACGTGTTCTGGTAGAGAATTCCAGTAATTCACTACTCGGTGCGAGAAACGAAAATCCAGACGTAAACGATTTGATCTCGGTTTTTGAACTTTCTTCGAATGTCCTCTCAAATTATCACTCCTAGACGGAAGTAAAAGACAGAACATAGTAGTACCAAGATTACCGTTCAGTATACGATAAGCCAACATTAAATCACCCCCGTACTCTACGATAAGATAACGGAAATAAGTTAAGGTGTCTCAGTCTGTCTTCATAAGATAGGCCAGATAGACCTTGTACCATCTTAGTACCTCGTCGTTGGACTCTTTCCAGCATCTCTGCTCCATACTTGAAACAAGGAATCGCTGCTTTAATCCCATATTCTAAATGTGGTTGCACACAAATCGGGCATAATAATCTGAACATCTCATCTAAATACTGAAAAGACCTACGAATAGACCATAATACCCTATAGCCTTTTGCAGCAGCAACCTCACAGTAACTAGTGGTTTTGAAATCACTGCTTAATATGACTCCTAAGTCTTTATGGCTTGTTACTTTGTGTAGCACGAATTCACATATTGTGTAGTGATACGATTCATCATATTTATTTGCATCACTGCACTCTTATCAGTATTCACATCTAGTGACCACCTGTCCAACCATGCCTCTTAACCATGATCTTAAAAACTTAATATGATTGAAATGAGTCCGTTCAAATGGTTCAAATGCTTTTGGATGGAAGAGAAGAAGCTTTCGCCTAACGGGCTTTCGTATCTAGCGGCGGTAGATTACCAATGCCTCTAGGCAGGAACTTAGGTATTAGAGTGTTAAATAAATCCCCAACATAAGTAGTTTTATAAGTTTTCGACATCGGATGTTGACCACATTAGTTTTATTGGACTCACATAGCTGAAGGTGATCGGTCATGCATCCTCACCAGATCACTAGTGGGAACGCCGTGCTTAACAATCCCTGCAATCGCTAGCCAGATTAGATCGGACGATCCTCGACGTATTGATAGCCTATCAAATATATCTTCGAACCTCCTAGCTTCTGTCTCTTGATTTAACTTGGTGGGAACGATTCATATCAAAGTGTTGTCACACGCCGAATACCTGTGGCATCTTCAATATATTATTAGTAAAAGACGAAAAAGAAAAAAATGTTTGTAAATCATAGAGAGATACTGTCATTAGCCCTTAGGAATATGTCAAGTTTCCTCGTAAAGAGTGTTTGCTTTCTGATATCCTCGCATTTGTGTACATTTTTTGTTTTCCTCAAAAAATCTAAAACTTTCATTGTGTGAAACATGTTTCGTTTCACATGTAAGTCGATTTCGTTGCACGTTTCGGTTCGTCAAGCACGTACGTGTGTATTTCGATATGCACCTTCAATTTTGTTTTTTCTCCTAGACGGCTTGAAATGATGAAGTCACGTCGAAAAATACGATGAATAGGAATATTCATTGTGTAATTTCGTTCATTGTTGTATTGTGCTACATGACCTCCCATATTACGGAAAGACAACCAGAGGCTGCTGAACATAGCAAGCCATCAGAAAGTGTATATCTACCGTGGGCTCTTTGGGATTTAACTTCTAGCCGGCCACGTATTATGGTAATCACCACCTCATTATGGGAGGAGTAAAATGAAGCAGTAAATAAATCCTCGAAACACTTGGTTTCGTTAATCCCCCACATCGATGTGCACCTCATCAGCTTCACTGGACACTGGATCCTGACTCAATATTTTGACCAGGTTGGTATACACTTATTGTAAAGGTGTGACGCGTAAATGCGTTGTGAGAAACCGAATAAATGTGGTCTCTTCAACCTATTTCGATGGAGCAAAGAGGATTTTAGTTGAAGATTGTGTATCCCTATTGTTCTGAAGTCAGCGAATATCCAGATAAGTGCTAAATTAGAAATGATCCTGAAAGTTCAGCTGGAGACCTTAAATAGTGTATCAAGAGGATGAGAGTCATTATCCAGTCTTTCTGGAAATAACATTTACCAAGCAGCGTGTCAATTAAAAGTATCATGAATGGTCTGTGATTAGAATTGGTGTAAAAACATTTTTTTCTTTGAAATACCCTGCAAAGTGTGTATCTGCAGCTACAGTTTGTTTAAATACATCTTTTATTATTTATCTTTATTTGCCCTCATTTTCGTCTTTGAAGGTTTCGAGGAAATGATAACTTCAGTTGTCCTATTATTCATTTTTGGAATTTTCAAAGAATGTATGTTGCTTATGACTTAATTTTTAAAGTATTATCCATGGAGTGCTATGTGTGCAGGAATCAGGAAGGAAATAAAGATAAGTGCATCAAAACTACAATGCAATGTCTAGAAGATGAACACTCTTGTATAACCAATATTTCATATACAAGTAAGCTGATTGCACTTTAATTTTATTAACATTAAAGATAGGTCTCTTATTTTCCACTTAAATGGTGTTATGGGTTTTTAGCACTAATAATACTGACCGAGATGAGAGCTTCTTGCTGCTGACCTGTAATATCGAAATTATTTCAACTCATATTCCGTGCAATTTCTTTTGTTAGAAGTGCTGAATATATATAAGGTGTTGGGATCTCATCTTCCCTGAAGGTTGCTCTCTTGGAAGACCTACTAACTCCTCTAAAATGTGGGCTTGGAACTTATTTCCAAAGTCATGAAGTCTTTAAATATGGGCAAAACTCTGCATAGTTTTCTAAACACGTAGACAACACTTACTGGTAATCACAAATCCCGTCAAATTTTAGTGATATGATCTTTTTGCTGAATTTGTTGAACACTAAATTTTGTCCTCTCTTCATGAACTAAGGTGCTTATGTGTATCATTTTCTACCTAAAATTTACAACACAGTTTGTTATTATTTTAGCTGTGAGTCAGTATAATCTTAATTGACAGCAAACTAGATGTTTGTACCAATGTCATATTTGAACTAAGTATCTTGACACTTTTCATGTATATTAAGTTTGAAAACTGGGATGGCATGGAACATGAATCAATGATCTTTTTTTGTATAAGACTAGCCTTCATCTGATTGATTATTTGCTATTTGACTTTTTACTATTCTTCCCAAGTACTTGGTTACCTGAACGCGGACTACTATGTGTCTGCTTAGTGATTGAGTCTCGAAGATCATAGGTTACAACTACGAATAAAACAAATACTAGCATACCTATCTATTGAGCAACATAACTGCAAGTAGAAAAACAGTCATAAAAATGTTGATGGAGAGTAGTGAATGACGTAGGTAAAATGTGCGAGGAAAGGAGGCGGAGGTTGCTTCTTGAGCTCTATATTGCCCGTTGATGTCATAATATGAGATTCTACCAAAAGTTTTCACTTTTCTGATTCTTTCTTTGTTACCTGATATAGTGTACTGAGAAATAGATGTAGACATTTTAATTCAATTTGATGGATATATAGCGTTTCCAAAATCAAATTATTGTTCCCTACATTGTAGTACTGATAGTTCTTAGTAATAGGCTTTTCTTCATGCCTAATTTTCACCTCAAGATCTACTTATAATTATATAATTTTCCAATCAGAACTAATCTGTTCCACAGATAATTGTGAATCCTCTTTTAACTGGTCTACCCGTATGTCCTTATGATAAACCAGCAATCACATAAACTAGACAGATCTCAAAAATTTCGAAAGTTGTTTCACATTACAGATATTATCTAGTATTGTGAAAATTCTCTTATGCTACGATGATCATATTCAGGCCTTTCCAAAAAATCAAGGCACTGAAATGTTTGCTTACATGTAAAACCAACCATTTAGAAAATATCACCGACTAATCATCAGGTTTATTGAGGCGAATCATGGTCTACCAGTAGGCCAGAAAACATTCTTTATAAGCGTATACCACTTACAAATCTCACAAAATTTAAAAATGTCGAGATATCGTTCAATAAAAAATCAAAGTTCTGAACGCGTAAACGTGCAAACACCACTATCATAATAAGACCTGATATCTGGACATATTGCTTTAGCCTAACAATTAGTTCAAGTGTGTGTTATTTCCTTCCAGTTGAATCAAAACAAACTCTATTTAAAAAAAAACTAAAATACTAGTGAAAATGGTATTTTGATTTCAAACCTTATTTACATGCAGGCAAAAAACAATTGGCAATAAGCTGAACCATGATTAATTATAAATCACTTGAGAGTTGATGTAAGCCACTTCATAAGTTGATTACTAAAGATGTTACATTTAGTGAATAACCTATTGCGTGATATTTTTAAGTTTACTACACCGTTCACATCTTATCCTCATGTTTTTAGGTAATGCTGAAGCATTTCACGCATAGGCTTAAGTTTTTATGGTTAAAATAACAACGTTTGTCCTTTAAATGTATAAATAAATTTTAAAGCTATGTCTAACATGTTGCTTTTGTTAATTTTAAGTATGAGCAATTGTGATCAATCTAAAGAAATCATTCATCTACAGTTTTTGTTCTTAAAATACCCTGCTTATTATCTTTATTGTTACCTAACGTGACAATTATTATAACGTAACTTTAAACGTAAAGTATAGTCAACTTACATTGAACTCATCCACCGGCTTCTTAAACATGAGCCACACTCTTGATGTGATGGGCTGATAATATTACTCAACTACCCAAACAGAATTGGAGCAGAATTCAAACTTGGGGCTTTCTGGCCAAATACCTTAACCACT